GGTGAGGGGGGGGGGGGCAGGGCTGACGCCTGCAGACCAGGGTGAGTTGTCTTAATCAGGATGATGTCAGCATATATGATGTCCCGCACGCTGCCTTCCCAAGTCAAGACGCGAAGCAGCGGGCGTTTCCCGGCTCATCCATTTGACCTGTGCGCTGCCACTGCAGTCCGGAAATGCTGTAGTGGGCGACGAACACACACAATCGGCCTCGCAGGTCCAGATTCAGGAGGCAGAGCGGGAGCTGGAGCGGACCTCGGGGGCGACCCGCGCCGCTAGCAAGATGTCGGGTGCGTGGGTGGGTGGCAAGCACGAAACCCTGGCCACCTCAGGTGGCCTGATACAAATAGACCAGCATCGTCAATAAAGCCCTGGACACCCACGGACCAGAACTCGGCACTCAACCCCATTCCATCTTATTTTTCTAGAGCTACCGTCGGGAGACTTTGATGACGTCATTTCTGACCAACACCACGAGCGCGGCGACACGTCCTGGGCCAACCCGCGAGGGGGCACAGGTTCGGTAGCGGCTGTGCCGGCGGCGGTGGCGCGATGATGTTCGACGCACGCAAGCTGTGAGCCGATGTAATACATGCGGCCGACTCAGCCTTGATGGACAGAAGGGACAGATACATCAAAGTGACCTGATTACTTTTTCTTGCTGGGTGATTTTGACCATTGTCCAGTCACAAGAAAGTCAGAAATCCAACAGGGTGCACAAGCATCACTTGTTTACGCACAAATGGCTCCCATGCAAACCAATGGTCCTTGCCAGTCAATCACAAAAATGGCAAGTACACCAAAAACACAAGCTCGCAATGGCGCAGCATGCCATGTGGACTAAAAATGCCAAATCAGCCACAGCAATCTAGACACAGAATGTGGGATCAATACCCCCGTTACCCAGGATGAAGGTGGTTTGGTTCATTCTGAGCTACAGATTCACTGGTTGGCGCACGTGCCCTTATCTCCCGCAAGCGCGCCTGGGGGCAGAAGGCCAGGCCCGGTCGGGACAAATGGCTTGTTGGCAACAGCTCCCTTGGGGTTGTTGACCTGGGGAAGGAAGAGGTCAAGCAAGAGGTAATTGCATAATAGATAGTATTAGGTTTGAACACAGAGTTATGCGCACATGACCACGGCATGATACAACAACCAAGGGCAGGCACGTCGTCAAATTGGCACTCACCAACGGGCGAATCAGCTCACCTTGGGCGTGGTGCGCTCGCCGGGGGCGGGGAACTGGTACGGCTCTGGGCATGAGGCAGGCTCCTTGGCAACATATGGCTCCCCAGCCGGCCGCAGCTTGGTGTAGCCCTCTGCAAGGATGGCATGACCGCAACAGCTTCGAAAAGCCAAGCAATTGACAAGATCACCCCTTGCTGGGTTGACGGCCCGCAAAGAAAAACAGGGTGAGAGGTGGAATAGCAGTATTGCCAGGCTGTCCCAACCCTTCAAGAATTGGGGTTGTGAGAGCCACCCCGCCGGTTTCTGGAGGCTGAGGGCAAACCAAAAGGGGGGCAAGCTCACTTGTGTAGGCCGGAGTGTCATGCTTGAAGGGGTCAGCGCCCCAGGGCTCAAAGGTGACGGCGACGGGCTCGTTGTTGGCAGCGATCAGCGACTTGGGGATGGTTGGGATGAGCAGTGGCTGGGTGGTGTTGATGGGGCCCGCCATGCCCTCTGGGAAGAAGCAGCCTCCTGCCAAGGCGAAGAAGGACGAAAGAGACGGTTGATATCAAAATGGGTACGTGCGACATATGGTGGGTTGCTGCTACGAGGTATAAAGGGGTTGCAAGGGCTCACACATTCCTCCCATAGGCTCAACAAACATACATCCTGCTACCATCATGACTACCATTGCATCAAATTCTGATCTGGAATCACCTTTATCATTGCCGCACTGGACAATTGAGATCCACTGAAGTGCAGTCAAGGGGAGGAGGAGGAAGGCGAGATGCTGTTGAGGGGGCGTCTTCAATATAAATGCACACCGCGTCCTCACGGCGCTCAAGCACCGGCAGGTGCGAAGTGTGCGACAATCAAGTGCAGGGTACAGTGGGGCATGGGGCGCGAATATCATGTGGAGCGCGTGCAAACAAATTACACGGAGTCCAAGCTCATACTTCCTCCGGGACCACCTGCTGGGGCAGCCTTGCGGGGAGGACACCGTTGTAGTCACTCGACACCAGGTTCATGCCACCTTAATGGTGAGGGTGAGCAGTGCACGAGATTGTCAGCAAGTCCAAGGTTGTGATTGCATTTCTTGTACATCCCCACCTCTTGGTGACAACCCCGTAAAACACCAGACTGTTTGGCGCGCACACCATTGAAAAGAATCATGTGTGCGGCCAGCGAAAGCGCAACCCGTGCTTGAATCAAACCAACGGGTTTGCCATACTCAGCGGACCCTTGCCTCGCCAACGAGGCAACGACCCCGCTCAATCGACAATGCTGCATACCCATCCCCCCTCACCAGCAAAGATGTAGGACTGATCGATGCTGACTGGACCATCCAGAGCATCGCGGTACGACGACACCTGGTGACAACGTACGAATTTTTTTAATTCAGAGCAGCAATGGAGGCGTCAGCACAATCAGCCAATACAGGGGTGGGGCCAGGGCTGCACCCCAACCACATCGCAATGCAGGCTACCCACTGTCGCAATAAATGATTCTGGGATGCGGTATGTGGTCAGACAACACTGTGATATGTGTTCATGCACCCCCCCCCCAAGGGTCAACTCACGGCATCCATGAAGTCTTTGACTGTCATGTCAAACTGTCAGGGAGGGGACAGTTGAGGGCAGGGCTTTTGGAGAGGGGTGTAGGCGCCAGGGGTGAACAAACGCGTAGAGGGGGGTGAGCAGTGGTTATGCTGCTCACGAGATTTGAAAGCGCAGGGCGACGTTACCAGTGGGATGCTACGTGCACAAACCTCCCCTTCTTGGCAGCGCCGCCGTACCGACAAGCAACGTACACCCCCCCGCACACGCACCTCCTCCAAGGTGTCGTTGATGTGGGGCCAGATCAGGGTGCGGTCGATGGCAGTGAACTGCGCCGCGCCGCCCGTTAGGCCGCCCAGCACTGCCACGTACAGGGGGTCCCTGAAGAACAGCGCCAGGCCCTGGGGTCGGGACACATTATTGGGGTCGAGCGCGGCAACGAGGGCTTCTACAGCGGGCGGTGAACGCACGAGAGGCCTGGCTTGTTGCTTGTGTTTGACAAACGGCTCTCCATCTCAATGGGAAGCAGGAACAAATCATATTGCTGATTGCCGTGCTGCAGTGCAGTGCCTTTCTAACATCGTGAGCAGGCCGCTTGTTCACCCACCAGGTCAGCCACAACGCCGGCGGTCTCCATAGTCTCAGCTGAAATCAAAAAGTGGAGGTCGTCCTGGGATGGAGGGGTGTTGGGACAAGAGAGGGGGGAGGGGCCGGAGTAAAGTGAGAAAAGAACACTTCATCTTTATGTAACCATGGATGACAAATCCAAGGATGATGGTGTCAGGGGAAGGCACAAATGCTGTGCCTGCGAGGGCGCACTTGGGGTGATGGACAAGGGTGTGCAGAGCAGCCGCCAGCACAGCCGCCTTGTAACACGAAACGCACGTGCAGCTCTGGAAACAGGCCCAGGCCAACCAGCCAAGGGTAGGACTGCAGTACCGGGGCGTGTGCGCACCCCCGCCATCACAGCGCGGAAGCAGCAGCACACCTTGAAGGGATCCCACTTGACGCGGTCCTTGCCGGTCCGCTTGAGAGCGTTGTTGTAAAACTCCTGCAGGCAGCAGTACCGACGTTGAGAGATACAGACGTCGGTGCAGCGGTTGGGCTGATGGTGAGAGCACCGGTCAGGCTCGACCGCCTGGTTTTTTGGTTGTGCTTCTGATGCGGATTTGCACATGATTACAGGAGATTGCGAGTCACGCAGCGCGCCTGCTGGACATGGACACACTGCAGCAACACCACAGTGTCATCACCGTGAATCCGTTGGCGTAGTCCACTGGGGGGCAGGTAATGGGCTCCACCCCTGCATCATACAGTGCCTCACGCAGGATCCTGGGGTGACGTGGTTGTGGTGGTGAGGAATACGCGTCAAAGAGCGCATGAACGTGCATGCGTGCGTGGGAACCTGCCGAGTTGCATGCCCTGCAGGGTGATGCAAGAGCGGGTCCCCGACGCAAGCAGGGAATGACAACGAGATCGGTACAATTCACCGCATTCCTTGTGTGATGAACATAACTGGCCGTGTCAACCGATATTGCAGCGCGAGGGATGGCGCGCACCGCATGTGCCCGGCCTCAGAGTGCGAGAGCTCCTGCGCCCACTGGATGACGGTGGGGTTTGTCAGGTTGGCCTTCCTGCGCGTTGGTTGCGGGTGCGTAAGCAGCAACATCGTGTCAAGAAAAGATGGGTCCAGGTTAGCAGCAAAGGCTGTTATATGGTGGGGATGTCCCAGGCCGGACACATCTTGCAGACAACACGACCTCCCGCGTGTGAATCACGTGCAACACACCGCAGAGGGTGCAGGCATGGCACACCTATGCCAATGATGTGGCATGCATCAAGCGGGCTCGAGCTTGGAATCACAAATGGCTGTTAGCATTCCAGCACTCAGAATCCCCAATCTGATCGACTAATTTCATCAAAGGATCCCTCTCAATAGTCAGAAGTTGAATCGCCACCCAGCCCACCCACCTGCATCCAATTGGCACGGGAGGGTCGCGGCCAGGGCTGCGCAGCTTGGGCGCCAGGGGGCGGCCGAATGCGGCGCAGGCGTCGAAATTGGCCTCCAGGCACTCCCCGTTGATCTGAGGTCGCAGCGGGCAGGTAGGGATGCCAATGTGAAGTAATACTGAATGTGAAGCAGTAGTGACAGGGGTTTTGCATGGTCAGAGGGCCCTGCTGCCTCACATGGTATACAGCGCGCAACAAAGCACACACGGATGCAACCATGCGGCACCCAACCCTGTACAGATCCTCAGTCGCCGCCCCACCTTGAATTGCAAAAGGTCAGTGTCGCTCCAGTTGTAGATTGCCTGAGTGTAGTTCATGCCTGGATAAGTGTGTTGAGAGTGCGGGGATGTAGGGATGGGTTCAACGAGGGGTTGCACATGAAAGAAGGGGACATTGCCAAGCTGTGTGTGCACCCGCCAGCTCGCATGCACAAGGTTCGTCGGCGCTTGGCGCACCCCTGGCACGTGCTTGTGCACCGCCGGCACGGTGTTGAGTGCACCCGGGGTAACGCGCAGGGGCATGGGCATCAGGATGAATTAGGTGGCTGTGCTTGAAACGCATGGTCACACATTTTGCTCAGCTGCCCACATTGGGTCGTACCTGAGGGCTGCTGCTGCGCTGGACACCGCCCAACACCCCGTCAGATCGAGCATCGGACACAAGAGCACATCCCGATCAGCGCCAGCCAGGCCCCATCATCCCATTCACAAGCAGCGAGCGGCATGATGTGCGGCCAGGGTGCGCAAGCCGACCCACCGAGCACGGCGATTCGCTGGCCCGCCAGTCCTGTGGGGTTTGCTGACACAGGTAGCCCTTGGTTGCTGTTGGGCGGCTGCGCTCCCACGCCGCCAAGGAAGACGGCGGCAGCCACAAGGGCCGGCATGAGCAGGGCCATGCCTGCGGGGCGCGGCTGAGGGGCCATCTGGAGGCGGCAGGGGTGGTGGCGAAGCGCGGATGGGGCGGGTCGGTGGGAGGGTGTGACGTGGCTATGTGGGTGCGCATGGGCCGGACGGCGGGTGGGGTGCAGGCACGGCACGCGGGTGATCTAGGAGGGCCTGATGGGAGGGTGCGACGCAGTGTGTGATCTGATGCCTGTGGTTGCTCAATTCGCACCGTGTGCACACGTGTGATCCTGCAATGAAGGATCCAAACGTCAACAGTGTGCAGTGTGCGTTCTGAGGGGTGAATTGCAATTGCAAGAGCTTTTGCTTGGTTGTCGTGGCGAACACGGCAGACCTACGAACACCTTGCCCGATGGATGTTGCTGCGACACGAGCGCTCCCGACAGGCGGCCCATGAGCTGGAGGTGACGTCAGTGCGTCACTCTTGGTGTGTGGTGTGCAAAACATGGGTGCAGGTGCGCACTGCGCCGCTTGTGTCACCAGCACAAGGGGCGCCCATGCAGAATTCGGCCCAAGAGGCAGGGTGTATTTGATGCTGTATAAATGTGTGAGGGGTCGTGGCCAGAAAGCGCGGGTTACGAGATCAGACAATTTTTGTAGATCGGCTGATCGGGCTTCGGGCCAATATGAAAGTGACCGTGCAGCTTTACTGTGTTTTCCTTGTATACATATCTTGCAGCCGCGGTTTACATTGCAGTTATGGCTGGGATGCAGGCACCACGCGGTCAAGCTGCGCTGGGTCTTCAGCTGGCAATGGCTGACGGTTTCGGGTGTGCGTGCAGAACAGCCCACAGAAATGGCACGGAAGGATTAGCACTGTATCATATGGAGCCAGGTAGTACAAGCCATCATGCACAGGGTTTTTACATTGTTTACAAGTCGATTGATGCCCCAGACTGGTCCCATGTGTTCAGCTGGGAAACAGTGATGTTCCCTGATTTGAGAATGCCAGCCACATGTGCTGTGGCGGTTTGAACAGTCAATGATAAGGAGAAGCACGAGAGTGCATATTGTCATTTTGCAGGTCCGTCTGCAACATGCCCCCTCACTCCATCTGCTTGACCAGGATGCCCACTTTGCCACGCACGTGGCCGCGCTCACAGTACTCATGCGCCGCTGCCGTCTCCTCCAGAGGCCAAACCCTGAGAACATTGGTGTGTTGCATAGTCATTCAGCGGTCACAGATCAAAAATGGGAAGGCGACGGTCAGGCGCGCGCTTGGTGCCTGTGTTTGGCCCCAAAGTGGGCTCGCGGCAAATTAACCCCGTCGCCAGTCAGACAGGTGGTCGCACGCACTTCCCGCCACCCACGCAAGTGATGCCACGCTACCCGCATCACTGCCACTTTTGCGGCAATATGCACACCTGTCAAGGTGCACCTTGAGCTTCCCCTGAGACATCAGCTCCGCAAGCTGCTCAAGCCCCTCCGACGCCACACACTTCAGCATCACGCTGAGGGACGTCAGAATCATGTTTTAGGGGGTCGTGCGTAGGGGAGGGTGCACGAGGGTCATGCCTGCTGGTGGCGGCCTGCTGTCTGCAGTGTGAAAGCACCTGCTGGCGAGGTCAGGTGAAAATCTCCAGCCCTCTATGCATGTGGCGTTGACAGTTCGGCACGACAAAGCGTGCGCTGGAGACTGCAAGCGCGTCGTGCGGCCCTCGGTGAGCGCAGCCGCCTCACCCAAAACATGGGACAGCAAGCGCCGCCGCACGCGGCCCCGCCCAGCACCCGCGGCGCCGCCTGCGCATCTTCACAGACCCATTGTTATCTGCTCACAATCGGTACCAAGGCCCAAGGCCCAGCCGCCCCAGAGTGGACCGCACTGCCGCGTTCAGCAGCATCCCCACTAAGCCTGCCAGCCCCACGCCGTCCCTTCCGGGGCCGCTGCTGCCTACTGATACCAGCTCGCCGCCGCGCTTCAGCAGGCGCAGGCTGGCGGCCTCGTAGCTGCCGCACAGCCGAGTGTCCAAGAGGGTGATGAGCGATTGAGCGGATATGCGCCACACTGGCTTGCAGGGTTGACATGCAGGCAGATCTTTGACTGATCTGGCGCAGCATCAAGGGTCGACGCTGCGTGCACCTGGGGCAGCCGCAGGCATGCAACCACTGACAAGGCGGTGCAGCGCAGACGCCGGCCTGCTTGTGGCGCTTCATACATAAGGGCAGCTTGCCGGCGGCTGAGCATCCGTCGCTGAGAGTGACGTTCGAAAGCCCAGAGTATACCCACCTGCCCCCGACGAGGTCGAGCACAAAGTCAGAGGGACCCTTGACCGCGGCCTCCCACGGCCCCTGGGATTGACAAAGTGTCGGGCCAAGCCGAGCTGCTTGTGAGTTTTGAACAGCGCCTTTTGCCTCGGATCTGTTGACCTAATACGTTGTGTGTCCCCAGCACCTTCCATCTGCTGCACAGCCAGTCAAGCAGGCAGTGTGGACACAAACAACCGGCCTCAAGCCTTGCGCTCAGTCTGTGTGCCCGACCTCGCTTGTACTGTACCCCCATCCCCGCCCCCGTCTCAAACCTGTGTGTAGTCGATCGCCTCGTCAGCGCCCAAGGTTTTGGTCACATAGTCCACGTTTTGCCCGCTGCATGTGGTTGTCACATGGGCCCCCTGCCCCTTTGCAATCTGCGCGAGCGCCACCGGCGAGGGCAGGCGTGACAACACATACCCCATGCTGACAGCTGCCCGCGGCGTTTCAAGCCTCCTCCAAGCAGCGTCGCGCACGCCGTGCCGGCCGCTCAACCGCCGTGCTGCCACTGAATAGCATTATGGCCCTCTCCCCGTCCCAGCACATGCCATGCTAAGCAAGCCCCGGCCACCCACCTGTATGGCAAAACCGCCGACCCCACCCGCACCGGCGTGTACCAGGACTCGCTTCCCTCCGAGCGGCATGGCCGGGGCCAGCGCCTGCCAGGCCGTCATGCCGGCCATCGGCACCGCCGCCGCGTCCTGCAGGCTGACGTTTTGCGGCACCAGGCAGACCGTGGCCTCGTCAGCCGCCACGAGAGATGCGTACGTTCCCAGCACTGGGCAGCGGCGGCGGCGGCGGCGGCGCGGGCAGCGGGGTCGCGGGAGTGAGGCACGCGGCGGGCAAACGGCGCGGCAAGCAACGCTAGCGGCAGTGGTGTGGGTGCACCGTGCCCGGGGGTCGCGCTGACTCAGCGTCCCTGTCAACGTCAGTTGGGAGCTCGGCGCTCGCAGTAGGGCCGTGCGTGATGAGATTCACTATCTGTCTAACGGCTCGCGCCAGGGCCAGGTGGCGCTTGCCCTGTCTCCAAAGAAGGAGAGGAGACGCGCACCAGATTTGAGCGCCTGGCCGGTTTCAGCAAAGACTCGATCACCCTTTTTGAACTGCAGGTTTGAGGTGAAGCCTGGGTCTCACTCTAGAGGGTGGGTGCGTGGTTGTGGATGCAGGTGCAAACAGCTGACCAAGTCCCCCCGCCGGCTCGCTGGGGGATGGGGCGGGCTGCCAGAAGCTGCACCCCAGTCGTTCAGCGAGCAGACCCCCCGCCCCGCGCCCGCGCCCTGCACCCTGCTGCCACGGCGCCGGCGGTGGCAGCGCAATGGTTGTGTGGGCGCGCGGGGCCCCTGGGCACCCTCAAACCCCGGCGGTCCCGGCGCCCAGTTTTGACGAGCACCTGCATAGGGCACGCCCACCTTGCTGCCCTCTGGCGCCTCCAATACAATGCCGGCCACGTCCTCTCCAAGGATTTGGGGGAGCTTCAGGGGCACTGGGAAGGCGCCCTGGGGGCACGTGAGGGTGGGTGGGGGTGGGGCGTAGGACCACTGAAAGGAGCGCTGAAGCGGGGCGTGCAGCAACTTGCCGCCACAGCGGCGTGGGAAACGGCGGGGCATGGATGTCGACTTCAACTACGCGAGTGCGTGCTGGGAACGGACGAAACGTGACACCCAGAGCCGTTTGGGGAGGGGGGTATGGCGCGCATAGATCGCAGCGGGCAAGGGGCGCCTGTATGACTGGGGGCGGCCATCAGTGCAGCCCGGCTTTCCGACGGCGCCGGCGTCGTGCGTGTCTGACTACGCGGAGGTGGACAGACAGGCTGTCCAGTTCCTCAACGATGGCGGGGCCCGCTCGCCTTCCTGATCTTCCTGCGGGCCCCAGGCCGGGCACGCACCACCCGGGCGGGCGGGGGCGATGTGGGTGTCGGTGTTTTTGACATTGAGTGTTCAGCAGGCGGGAGGGGCACGTGCTTGGAGGTGTGGGTGGGGCCCGCAAGCAGCACTCACATGCCTCTGCCTTTGCCCTGTTCCCATGAGCCCCGCCACCACGCCCTTGTACGGCTTGCCCTGAGCCATGTGTGAAAGTGTGCAATCGGCCCTGTTTGCGCTGCAGCGTGTCACCCTGTGCCCGCGCTGCCCTCCCCAGACACGCACCAGTCGCCGGCGTTGACCGAGGCTGCGGCGACCTCGATCAGCACCTGCCCAGGCTCGCGCACCGGCGCCGGCCAGGCCTCCTCGTAGCGCAGCGCCTCGCCGGGCGGCCCGCGCCTGTGCATTACGACCGCCCGCATGGTGGGAGCCACCAAGGTGGCGTGGAGCCCGCCCCGCGCCACGTGCCTGGGGAGTGCTTGAGAGCGCCTCTGCGGTGAGGTGTACTGCGCGCCACGTCGCAGGTGAGCCACAACGCGACTGAATATGTGGGCCTGACAAGCTTGCCTCAAATGCTCTCCTCAAAACTCTTAGCTCGCTTTGGTGCCTCGAAGCACCAAAGCATCTGCGTGGGTGCAGGCGGAGGCCCGCAGAACTTCGCGATCAGAAGGTGGCATCGGCTCTGGTGTAGAGCGCAGTAAGAAACGAATGGTCGGTGGTGATGGTTGCGAAGCAATAACACCAGGGGATGGCAAGGGCTCGCGTGTCCTGCCTGGCGTTCCTACAGTGCACGGCAACGCTGGTGCGCACATCCATGGCGCTTGAGTGTGCTGTGCTGCTCGCATAGAGCCATGTTTCTCCCAGACATGCTTGGTCAGCACTATAAATCTGTTCCTCTTCGTTTCAGTGAGAGCAGCTGGCACGCCACAGTCCACGATGTCCTCACCAAAGTTGCAACCTCCCAGACACTCCCAACCACCACAAACCTCCCAGGCACTTCAGCAGTCGATGTGCACAGGCGGTGCCACATGACCTGTCGTGCTGTAGTACACGCAACTTAAATTCCCCCCTATTCCCACAGCTTTCAGTTTCTGGTGTCAGTAATCAGTGTGAAAACGAGGTTGCATTACCAAGACAAGGATATATAAACGCACGATCACCATCGCATAAACGGGACAGACAAATTTCAGCAGAGCACTGTCAAGCCAGACAAGTGCCCATGCGCACAAGTATCCCAGTCCGCTGATCCAGAGGCATCCAGATGTAGCGCGTGGTTGTGGCATTTAAAAAGGGCCCCAACGGTGCGGGTCAAAAGGGTGCGCGCCGTAATTGCCAGCGGGGCCGTTGGGGCCAGCAGACAGGCACCGCCAGGCGTGCGTGTCTAGGCCACGAACGGCAGGTGCGTGGTCGGCCCCACGCGCGCGTTCCATCGACTCAGAAAAGGCATTGCTGGTTGTTTAGGATGATCTAACGGAGGGCGGCAAGGGGCAAGAAGCGGGGCCTTCCCGCTTCCCCCGGGTGGGTGGGTGGGTGGGCGTGTGGGCCATCCAACCTCTTTTGCATGTTTGTTGCTACGTGCTGCCACAACACGCAGCCGTTGCTGCCGCATCCTCATGATAAGGTGGTGCTCTCCGGGCAAGCCGGGTGTGGGTACAAGGGTACAGGTATCATGAGAGGCGGGGAATGAGAGAGATGGGAGGCAGCCCCAGGCCGCACCCACGGCAGCAGCGGCCACGCCGCCGTGCAGGGGTGCAGCAGCTGGCTGCAGCTCGCCGAGGCGTTTAGCGGCTGCAGTTGTGCGAGCTGCTGGGTGGCTCGGGAGTTGTTTATGTGCCAGGGCGCAGCGAGCCCGGTGACCCACCAGCGAGCGCAGAAAACGTCGCACCCGCCGCAAAAACAAGGGGCACCTGCAAGCACGAGCGCTGCTTGACGCGAGCGCCAAATGAAGAGTACAAAGACAGGGGCCGCGCCGCCGCCGCAATGCGTGGTGCTCAGGGCGTGTCGCCATCGACTACAACCCTGACTGCCACCAGCAGCGCCAAGGGGGTGACCCCGGCGGTCACGGGGTTTTTGCGAAGCAGCTAGCAGCACTGAATCCAAGGCAAGTATACGATAATGAAGAGGGAGGAGCCACAAAGAGGGTGCCACAAGCTTTGCACCTGGTGCGTAGCAAGGAGCGGCCCACGCACTGTTGAAGGCCGGACGCACGACACTTCAGCCGCAGCCCCCTACAGCGCTTTGCTGCGTCACGGCTGGGTCATTGCAATGCGGCCAAAATCGAGAAAATAACAGACCCCACAGAGCCCCCACAAACGAGATGCCCCGCCACAACGGGTGTGTAGATCTGACAGGAGCACCTCTTGCG